AACAGAAAGGGCCACATCAACCAGAGACTTCATCAGCCTGAGACCAGAAGAACTAGATGGTGCCCAGTTACCACCAATGACCGCCCTGGCAGGGAACACGACAGAGAGACCCGGATGGAGCAGGAGAAAGGTGGGATGCAGAACTCAAAATCCAGTAAAAAGATGAGACTTAATGGTTTGAGACTGGAGGGACCCTGGAAGACATGGTCCCCAGACTCTCTGTTAGCCCAAAACTAAAAGCATTCCCAAGGCTAACTCTTCTGACAAAGATTAGACTGAATTATGGGACATAAAGTGATACTCATGAAGAGTGTGCTTCTTACCTTAAGTAGATAAAACCAAAAAAACCCAAACGTGGTGCCGTCGAGTCAATTCCTACTCATAGCAACCCTGTACATGAGACTAAATGGGCAGCTCCTGTTCGAAGGCAAGGTGAGAAGCCGTAGAGGGTCAGGAGCTGGTTGAATGGGGACGGGAAATCCGGGGTGGAAAGGAGGAGTGTGCTGTCACATTATAGGGAGAGCAACCAGGGTCACATAACAATGTATGTATAAATTTTTGTATGAGAAACAAACTTGAATTGTAAACTTTCACTTAAAGCACAATTAAAAAAAAAAAAAAAAAAACACCTTGCAAATGGCCATCCAAGGCACAATTGGTCTTTATTTTCAAGGCAGAACAATTGGTCTTTATTCTCCTGGAGCAACAGAGGAAGGAGAGTTAGAAATAGGAGGAGGATAAGCAATGTGTGGCTAATTGCCTCCTTGAACAACTGCCTCCTTTACCATGAGACCAGAAGAACTAGATGGGGCCCAGTTACCATTACTGAACGTTGTGATAGAAGATTTTATAGACGAATCCTTATCAAAAGGGGGAAAATATTGAACAGAATTTTAAATTCTCATGGACTCCAGACTCTAAAGCCATGGAGGCTGGATGAACCCCTGAAACTACTGCCCTGAGATAAGCTTTAAACTTTAACCAAAAAGTATCCCCTGAAGTCTTCTATTTTTGTTATCTTATTAATATTGTTGAGCATTCTTCTGAGATGAAATTAAGTTACTTGGAAACAGTTTGATCCTTTCTTTTAAGATTTGCTATGCAGGTCTAGAACAGTGTTCAGGCTAGGGCTAATTATTCCCCAGCACTGAGACTATTCTTTGTACTTTAGCCAGTGCCTCATGAATCATGAATTTTTTTCAGTCTGGCTGTTGGAAACAGGCACTATTCCCAGCCCCCTGTGAGTTCCCAGAACTATCCCCTGTAATTCTTCTGTGTGTTTTTTTCTATAGCCTCAGGTAGTTTCTTCAAACAAATGTGTTAATCAGTAGTAAGTAAACTGAATACCTAAGGAAGACCCTCTTCAGTTCTCCAGAGTTTTCTCTCTGTGTAACTCTCTCCTCTCTGGTATCCTGTTCTGGGAATTCTAGCTGTTAAGTTTCAACTTAAATCAGGGACTCTGCTGGGCCTGGAAACTCTCTCAAGACACTAAGCTGGAGCAGCTATAGGGTTTACCTTTTTGTTTTTTGTCTCTCAAGGATCACTTTCCTTTATTGTCTGATGTCCACTATCTTGAAACCATTGTTTCCCTATTATGTCTGTTTTTATAGTGGTTTCAGGTAGGAAGGTATATCTGGTCTGTCATTCTGTCTTGTCCAAAGCGTAATTCTCCCAGATAGCTTCTAGATTGTATGGTTAAAAGAGGCTACGCTCTCTGAGGAGAATGACAAGAGAAAGCCAGTTATATTAAGATTTGAAAGAATATTTTAAGAAAAAATTTAGCTCAAAGGTTGTAAGATGAGAATGAACTTTGCCTGTTGAACAAAATGGAGGCAGCTGCATCTGAATCAAGGGCAGAAGCAACAGCATACTCTTGAAGAGGTACATGGGGGCTCTTGAACAGGTACACATAGTCCTCCGGTAAAGAGTTTGGGTTTAAACCTAAGTCTGATGGGAAGTCATTGGAGAATTTGAGCAGGGAGTGGCATGATCTGGTTTACATTTTAGTATCATTATTCTGGCTTCTTTGAGGTGAATGGATTGTAGAGATGCAAGAGTAGAAGCAGGGAGACTGGTTAAAGAGGTTGTGATATTAGTCTAGAGCTATGCTGTCCAGTATAGCAGTCACTAGTCACATGTGGCTATTTAAGTATAAATTAAATTTAAATAAAATGAAAAGTTTAGTTCCTCAGTTGCACCAACCACATTTCAAGTGTTTAAGAGCCACTTGTGGTAGTAGCTTCTTTATTGGTTACCACAAATTGTAGAACATTTTCATCATTGCAGGAAGTTCTATTGGACAGCACAGGTCTAAAGAGATAATTGTGGCTTGGAGTAGTGTAGGAGCATAGAGTTGGAATAGAATGGATAGATTGAAAAATATTTTAGAGTAGAAGTAACTGGCTTGCTGATGTGAGGAATCAGGAATAACTCCTCGGTATCTAGTGTGAGCTACAAAATGGATGAGGCCGATTAGGGAAGGAGCAGTATAATTGGAGGAATGGAAATGAAGAGTTGTGTTTTGGCCATGTTGTGTTTGTGATGCTTATTAGTTAACCATGTGGTTATGTGAAGAAGGCAAATTTAAAAGTTTGACATTCAAGGGAAAAGGTGTAACAGGACATATAGATTTGGGAGTAGGCAGCATATGGATGTTGCCAAAGCCATAGGGGAGTCCCTGGGTCATGCACATTTGGCTGCTAACTGAGAGATTCAAGTCTACTCAGAAGCACCTTAGAAGAAAGGCCTGGTGATATACTTTCAAAAAATCAACCATTAAAATCCCAATGGAGCACCATCTGCTCTGGGGTCACCGGAAGAGTCCGAATCGACTCTACAGCAACTGTTTTTTTTTTTTTTAAAGCCATAGAAGCTAAGGAAAATGTGTATGTAGGGAAGAGGTAGTAGCCTTAGATCAAGCCTAGGCACAGCAGCATTTAGAGGTCAAGCAAAGGAAATGGAACTAGCTAGGGAGACCTGGACAAAGCAACCATGAGACTGAGGGGGTTGGGGGTAATATAGTGCCATGGAAGATAAAGTATTTCAGGATGGAGGATGTGATCACTTGGGCAGAATGTTGCTGAAGGTCTAAGACAGGAAGGGTTGTAGAATATTGGAGGAACTGAAAGAAGACCAGAGTGGCTGGAGTATAGTGAGTAGGTGATGGGGGCCTTGATGACTTTAATAAAGGTGTTGATTCTTGTCTAAAAGAAATAGGCAGCACTGAATGGTTGTAAGCGGTAGGATGCAAGAATTTGATCAATATTTGTGTTTTAAAAAGATCACTCTGGCTATTGTGTGGAGAAGCATTTGAGAAGGGCCAGTTGGTAGGCTATTGTAGTAGTAATGGTTTTAATTAAGGTGCTGGTGATAGAGATGGATGGATATGAGTTGTAATTAGAGATAGAATCAACAGGATTGTCCTAAGTGGGTGGCTTTACCAAACAAATTTGTTTTCTCACAGTTTAGGGGGCTAGAAGTTTGAATTCAGGGCACCAACTCTAGGGGAAGGCTCTCTCTCTGTTGGCTTTGGGGGAAGATCTTTGTCTCTTTCAGCTTCTCGTCCTCAGTTCCTTGTCATTCTTCCATGTGGCATCTACCCCCTTTATCCTTCCTTCTGTGTCTGATCAGTTCCTTTTATATCTCAAAAATGATTGGTTTAAAACACACCCTACTTTGATATGACCTCATTAGTATAACAAAAACCCTCTTCCCAAATGAGATTATCACATGTATAAACCAAAACCAAAAACCAAACCCACTGCCTTGGATTCTGACACATGGCCACAGAGTAGAACTGCCCCATAGGGTTGCAGGGCTGTAAATCTGTATAGAAGCAGTCTGTCACATCTTTCTCCCATGGAGTGGCTGGTGGGTTTGAATCACTAACCTTTTGTTATCAGCCGAGTGCTTTAACCACTGTGCCACCAGGGCTCTGGTTACCACATGTATAACCAGGGGTTAGGATTTACAACACATATTTTTGGGGGACACAATTCAATCCATAACAAGGATATAGCCACTGTGGCGGGTGGGGGTGGTAAGGGAGAAGAAAGTGTCAAGGCTGGATGGTTGTGCCCTTTGTGGAGGTAGGTAGTACTGGAGGGAGACTAAGAGGAAGTAGGAGGAGGTCCCGAGTTCAACTTCAGACATGTTTAGTTTGAGGTACTAAGAGATATTCCTATTTAAATTAAGCCGACTGTTTATTTTAATTTTAGGAACTTCTGTCAAGTTGACCTGGAAAGAGTTTGAATGCTTATGTTTTTATCTTAACTTGATCAAATGAAGCAATTTTAGGATAGATATGTGGATTGTAAAACTAGATGGTCGCAATTGTTTAAGGGCCTCTTAAACACCAAAAAAGTAGTATGCTGGCAATTATTTGCATATATACTATTTTCACTTGTTACCAGTAGAGTAAAGGACTTAAAATACTGATGGTTAACAAAATAGTAAATGCCAATGATTTTAGTAGGTATAGACTTTTCATTTAGTAGGACTAATTTTTATTGCATCAATCTTGAAATGTCTTAATAGTAGATAATTGATTAAATTTGTAAAATAATTTAAATGGGAATAGTGAGTTTTCCTATAATGTATCAGCTTTTAGATTATGTATATTTTTTCCAATTCTTATCATTTGGAAAGAAAAGACTATTTTCATTTTTTATTTCATAGATTCTTAAAAAGTAATTAGTGGTGAGAAAATTTAGATAACATGTACTGAGTACTTCTAATATACAAAACATTGTGCCATCAAATACTTCACTGATTTCTACAGAAATGAGATGTGAAGGTTTTGAAAGATATCCAGCTAAGCACAATTTATTGCAAGTCTTTTGTGAAATTGATTGCTTGTGTAATACTGACTTTAATAATATTTTTAGTATAGAATCAAGCCCCAGAGAGAAATGGCTATCTGATATAAAGTAAAGACAATTATTGTATTCATCTCTTTCATTAGAGTCATTGTTTTCTCTTTTTGTTATATTTAATTACAGGGCTATTCCCTGATGTGGGTGGAGGTTATTTCTTGCCACGGCTTCAAGGAAAACTTGGTTACTTCCTTGCATTAACAGGATTCAAACTAAAAGGAAGAGATGTGCACAAAGCAGGAATTGCTACACACTTTGTAGATTCTGAAAAGGTAATTGGATGACTGCATTTTGTGTTGTTGGGATAATTAATATTGCATGGGGAGGCAATATAAGGAGTGGTTGAGATCACAGGCTTTTGTTAGACATGGATGTGAATCCTGGATCTGTTGCTTATAGCTATGTGATCTTGGGGAAGGTACTTAAGCTCTCTAATTCTCGGTTTCCTCTTACTTAAAATATGCAAAAGGGAGATAATATCTGTATTTAGATAAAATTCAGGATGTAGGGTTATTTTGTCTGGCACATATTATACACTTGGTATTTTTCAATAAATAGTATCTGTAAAAAAAGATGCCTATTTTTAAAAGTCTAATACATAAAAATCTAAATGTATATATAAAAAGATAGGCTTTTTATGTTACAAAGACGTTTTCGAAAGGTTCTCTTGGTTGTGAGTTAGTTCCCTAGTGCATTTAAAACAATTGGAGTTGTAAAATATGATCTCATAACTTTTCTAAAGCATATATAAGAAACATGTTACTTATTTTTGTCTTTTTTTTTTTTTTTTTAACAGTGTGGCCATTTTTGTTAGCACAGAATAACATAGTGGCAAAGAATATCCAGGCAGATCACCTGGATTTAAATCGTAGCTTGAATTTAACATCTTTGGCCTTCAGCTTCCCAGTCTCCAAAATGGGGATGGTAATACTGCCCATAGTAGTTGGAACTCCTTGTGTTACCTGTAGCAGAAAATTCAGTTCAAGGTGGTTTTGCCCTAGATTTCCCAGCAAGATACCTAGAATTTATTCTACTTCAACTGTTTTAGCTCACTTTGATTTACCAACTTACATCACCCTTGCATCATGCGGAGGGGAGTGGCAGAGGTGGGTGGAATACACCGACTGGTCTGTCCTAGGTCATATGCTCTATCGGTGGTGTTGTGGGGTGAAGTCAGCTCTCTGGGAAACAGATGGGTATCTGATCTTGAGGGAGAGGTGTTTTGGGATAGGAATGTTATAAAAATTATTTTAAAAAATTCATATGAAGTGCTTATTTATGTGAGCAACTGACAAACACTCCAATTTTTTATTATTGTACTTCAGATGAAGGTTTACAGAACAAACTAGCTTCTCATTAAATAATTAATACACATTGTTTTGTGACATTGGTTGCCAACCCCACGACATGTCAATACTTCCCCCTTCTCGACCTTGAGTTCCCCATTACCAGCTTTCCTGCCTCTGCTCCCCACCCCCTGCCTTCTCATCCTTGCCCCTGGGCTGGTGTGCCCATTTAGTCTCGTTTTGTTTTATGGGCCTGTCTAATCTTTGGCTGAAGGGTGAACCTCAGGAGTGACTTCATTACTGAGCTAAAAGGGTGTCTTGGGGCCATCCTGGGGTTTCTCCAGTCTCTGTTAGACCAGTAAATCTGGTCTTTTTTTGAGTTAGAATTTTGTACATTTTTCTCCAGCTGTGTCTGGGACCGTCTATTGTGATCCCTGTCAGAGCAGTCAGTGGTGATAGCCAGGCACCATCTAGTTGTGCTGGACTCAGTCTGGTGGAGGCTGTGGTACTTGTGGTCCATTAGTCCTTTGGACTCATCTTTCCCTTGTAAACACTCAAATTTTAACTGTTATTAATATTTTTAACATAGTTTATATATGCATTTTTCAAGGTTACTGGATTTTTCATTGAGAGTCTTTTACAGTGTGCTGTATGGCCCACTGACTCTACTGTAGACTTATAACATTCTTCTGTTTAGGGTACTGATGCCAGAGATGGTATTGACAATTGGATTATCTTGTTAATCCCTAGGGACTATTCATAAATTATGATGCTTTTTTCTCATTCTATCTTCTCTGGCCTACCAGCCAATGGAGTAAGACAGCTGGGTAGCATAAAAATGCATTGTTTGGTTGCTGATGCAGTTTTCTTCATAAATTTTATAAACTGTGAAAATTTTTATGTTGATAAATCTTGGTCATGTTTCCCACAGTTACAGGTCCTATAAAATTTAAGAAGTAGACTAAGTTGAAGGTTGTCCCTATATACTGTTATGAGGGCCTTCCATCAAGTTTGCTGGAAGCTACAGGTCTTTTTCCATGTTCTGAATATCCTCAGTCACATTGAGTAGGCCGTTGTCTCATTCTTCCCTTGAGCTGTAACAGGAATCAAACATGGACATTGCATTATCCACTTTGGAGGGACACTTATGATTATAGTGGAATTTAGTTAAAGATGGGAGAAAGTGATTCACACCCTCTTTCCACCTTTGTCAGCTTGTCCAATAAAAACATCTGCATTGGGTGGACTGCCATTCACAGGGCTTGTAGAGGATACAGAAATGAGTAGTACACTTTGGGAATGGAACTAGGAGACCAAAAAAACCAAACCTGTTGCTGTCGAGTCAAATGAATGGGGCTAGAAGTGGGTACAAAAGATAAATAACTACCTACTTATCTGAGTAGAGTATGAGAAATGTAAAAACAATGCAAAGAAAACACTCAAAGGATTCAAAGGAGGAAGCTTACATATAAGAAAGACTGGACTACTTTTTTCATAGAGATCGCAGTTCACACTTGCTGTGTGGGAATACATGTGCGTTCTACTTCAGTAAAAATTTCCTTCACTGTCTGAGCTGAAGAGACAACATCATAATTTTAAGACAAGGTTTCATGAGATTTTTTTAAATTGTTTTTTGTGTTTCTTTGGGGTTTCAAACCTTTTTTTTTTCCCCTTCAGTTGGACACGTTAGAGGAAGATTTGTTAGCCCTGAAATCTCCTTCCAAAGAAAATATTGCAGATGTCTTAGAAACTTACCATGCAAAGGTAATCTTGTCAATATTCTTACCTCAGATTTTAATTGATGGGAAAGGGGAAGTTATTGAAAAATTAGCATTTGGTTAATATCATAGTTTGTAGATACAAATAAATGTACTGGGGATTTATTTACTTTAAAGCTTAGTGGGAGGATCAGGGCTTCACAATTATCAGTTTAGCCATTTAATAAGATGACTTCACTGTGCAACTACACAGCCTGCCTTATTGCTGATGACTTGCAGTGCATACGAAGCCTTATAATCAGCCTTTGCAAGGGCTTTTTACACTATAGTCTGGTGTATCTGTCAGGAGGTTCAATGTGGACACTATTTGTGGAGCTGCTGAAATGAAACTCCTACATATCTATATATAATAATAAAGTCTTTTCTGGTGTTTACTTTTAATTCCTTCTTAAATTTTCTTTCAAGAGCCAAGAATATAAAAATACTATACGACTTATGGTTAAACGTGATGGATTAAATACGTACTCCCTCCTAAAACCCTTCTAAAATTATAATAAGAGGGGGTAGGCATAAATTCTCCAAGGCAAATAGAACAGAAGAGGAGACAATGGCAGATATAGTGTCCACATTTTAGAAGCTTGAAAGCAGAAGGATGAAGGGCACCTAATTTTGACCTGAGAATGCTGAAATCTTATCCTTAAATGGAGGAGGTGAGAAGAAACAAGCCAATTCTTGCTACTGACCATTAGAAAGGCACCGAGTCCCTCTGAAGACTGGAGTATGGACTGGGGCTGGAAAACAGGAAAATTTCTTGCACATTTTTATAAGGAGCAGTTATAACCTCTAGGAGTTCTGTATAGCCAGGAGCAGCTACCCTTCATTAGTGACAGAAGAGCAGAGACTCCTTAGAGAGACCCAATCAGACAGGCTTAGCTGAGGGCAGGGATGGGTGAGGTGCTCTACTGAAAAGAGGAGGAATATACTAAATGGGAAGACCTCTAGCTCCTTTCGCTGCTTGACTTTCCGAACCAAGTAAGACATTGAAAGAAAACAGACGAAAATTGTAGATATTGATATTCAAGGTGCCTTAATGAAACACACAGTTCCCTGTCTGATCATCTTACATTGTACAGTTGACAAGCCTGTAATTGCAATTGATATTGCACACAAACTTCCTATGGTATTTTAGTGTTTCACACAGAAAAAGAGGGATCACCAGGCATTTGAGGAAAGCCTTTAACAGAAAAAAACAGATACCGGCCAAAACAAACAAAAAAGATACTTGAAGGAAGCAAATGATACAGGGAGAAAAAAGGAAACTTAGAAAAAATAACCTATAATTGTTTTCTTCAGCTAGGAGGAGAGCATTTCATCTGTGAAGCAAAAACGGAAGCAAGAAAATAAAAGTATAGCAAAACTAGAAAAAAATACACCAGATTAAAATAGATGGTTGAGGAAAACTCTAAGAAAGAGGAAGGGAAGGATAATGAGATGGAAATTGGAGAGAAAAAATTAGAACTATTATCTAGAAGGTCCAGTATATAATTATTAGAAATTCAGAAGGAAAGTAACAGAAGGCAGGAAATAGAGAAATGATATAAGAAAATTACCCCAAACTGAAGAACATAACTGTACAGATTGACAGGGCCTATCTAGTGATTAGTTTAGCACAATGAATATGAATACAGAGCATATGAAGAGTTTTTTCAGTGGTATGAGAATGTTGACAGCATTTTGATCAAATTGATTTGAAACTAAGAAAAATAAGCTAACTAGGTAAAAGAATATAGATTTTAAAAAAGTTCTTTGAGTTTAGAGTGTTCATTTTAATAGTAACATTGTGAAATTTATAGGGAGAAGTGAAAATCTTGCACTTGAGTACAAAGTACCAAATTCCTCAGACAGGATGGGAGAAACATAGGCTATGGTGGCATAGGTTAAAAACAAAACTAAACAAAAGCAAGAGAAAGGACATAGTTTTAATGAATTGCAGCTCAGTGTACATCAGCAGCGTAATGGGTCTACCGTAAAATTAACCCAGAGTTAGTCTGTTAAAGGTATTGTATCTAGACCAAACAAGGGTATGTGTATTGCTGATCTACTGTGCTATGATGCAGCTACACTTACGGTTAAGGAATGTGTTCCACACTTTAAGAATGTCCCTGATAAACTGGAACTTGTCCATAAGAAGACCTGGATTGTGAGGGGACACAAAACTGTGCTTTGTGAGGCATGATTAAGGTGGAAGAGGGATTAAGTAGAACACTAAACATGAGATGGCTGATTTTTGGTCCAGAATTAAAAACAAACAAAACCAACTAATTATCATAGTTGTTCAAGCACTTGCGAGTTCCTTCCTGAGGTGCTGTTTTCTTTCCCTGGAAGTCAGTGCTTCCAGATACGATGAAAATTTGTGCAAGTTGAACTCTCAGTTTCCTTATAATCCTTAAATGTGTCGACACATTTTAGTGATATATATAAATAAATAAAAATACAAGAACATTTTTTTGTCTTTAACACTTTGAGTGCTAGTCTGGAGTAAAACATGCTGTCTGAATTTTGAACATATGGTGGTAGTTATTTATAAAAGACTGTTAGATATAATTTGAGTGAACGTGGTAATCTGTCACAAAGTGTGTCATTAATTATGATGAGATTTTAAAGGATTTTTAAAAGATTTGAGCTACTTCAAATTGATTGAAAGTTTTTCTTTTCAAACAGTCCAAGATCGATCAGGACAAGCCTTTCATACTGGAGGAACACATGGATAAAATAAACAGGTGCTTAAAAAAGAGATCTCAATTATATCTATTCCTTTGGAAGGACTATCTTAAATTGAATTTGCTAACATCTTGCTATCTTAAACTGCACTTTGTACAGTAATTAATGTACCACATTTTGAGATTAGATAACACAGTGCTTTTATCTCCGTTCACCTTTGAAAGTAGCTTCTTGTCCAATCTTTTAGGTGGAAATGAATTAATTATACTTAAATAATCTACCATGCTCATTCATTTTAGTGAAAACATTTTTTTTTTTTAAGTGGGGAAGAAAGGCTAGAAAATAGTCATTGAATTAACCTATGTTTTATCCTTGTAAAGTCATCTTCTATGAAGATCTTACAAGTAGATCAGGAGAAGATTTTTGTGCTGTGATTTGAGAGATTAACAGATTGATTTAAGGAAATGAGAGAAACAGGAAACTGCTGGAAGATAAGACAACCATCTGTTCATTTTAAAGCATCATTTTTTCACAGTTGAGAGATTATTTATATGTAAGTACAATAGCTGCATGAAAGCAAAAGAAAATTTAGATTTTATTTCGCATTAGTGAATGTGGACTGCAAACACTTTCCCAGAGAAGTAATGTTCTACTTTGTTAATCCTGTAAAATAGGTTGGAAAATTTTTCATTATTGAAATGGAAGTGGGGAGTACGGAGATGCCTGTGTTCAGACTCATTGGTATCTTGTTGTTAGGTGCCGTCGAGTCGGTTCTGACTCACAGAGACCCCGTGTATAACAGAATGAAACACTACCTGGTCTTGCGCTATTGCCACAATCGTTTCTATGTTTGAGCACATTGTTGCAGCCACTGTGTCAGTTGGTATCTTAGAAGTAGGAAAGTACTTGCACATTGGTAAAATCACCTGTTTTGTTTTTGTAGTTTGTTTTCAGCCAACACAATGGAACAGATTATTGAGAATTTACAACAAGATGGTTCATCTTTTGCTGTAGAGCAGTTAAAGGTAATGTATTGTTCTTTTATACCCTGACTGAGCATGGTGCATTCTTGTGACTAGGAAGCCTCTCTGAGGGCTGCCATTGCTCCGTAGTTGTGATATAGTCCACTGCATTGTTTTTCTGTGAACTCAGGTGAGCCTCAGAAAGCAGTTCCACGAAACCTTGACCCAAAGCCAGGTACCTTGTTTGTGTGTTGAAGGTAAAGCCAAGCTGTTTTTGGTCCTTTGAAAGTATTATTAGGACTTTAGTAAGCGTGCTTCATCTCCAGTAGTCTTCCCTGTCCTGCAGGGAGTTTTTAGGGAAATTTTTATTATTAAAAGAGTTGGGTTACTGGAGAATAGTCATCCTATATAACATACTGCAATTGTGATGTTAATCTATAGATTCTATTTAATATGCAACAGATCAATAGATGGTCTTTCTAAGCAGGAGACTTAAAAAACTGGACCCTTTTGAAACTAACAAGAGGCTCTGTCTACAGCGATAGCTGAGTACTCAGCAGTGTTTCTCAGTGTTAGGTAGACTTTGATCTTTCTACAGCATAACTTGATGACAGCAGTGCATTTGATTAAGAAGGAAAGTTGCTTGTGTAAATAAGTTCACATTGGTACTAATATACTTGGACTTATCATGTTTATGAAACTCAGATTATTCCAGACTTCTAGACATAGGAAAGAAAAAGTGTGTTTCTTTATACTTAAAAGGTGTTTTAGCTTGTCTTTATCTGATAGTATTTTTCCATTTTGTAGGTGTAATAACAGCATTTCAGTTGTCAGGGATCTTACTGACAAAAAATTTTAATAAATTCTTACCTGAAAAGATGAAAACATTTCCCCACTGTTACTGTATTCTTTTTTTTTTTTTTTAATTTTTTTCTTGTACTTTAGATGAAGGTTTACAGAACAAATAGTTACTCATTAAACAGTCAGTACACATATTGTGTTGTGACATTGGTTAACAACCCCACGGCATGTCAACACTCTCCCTTCTCGACCTTGAGGACATTTCTTTTGGTGAAAATATACATAGCCAAAGTTACACCATTTTGAAAGTTTCTACATGTACAGTTCAGTGACATCAATTACATTCTTCCAGTTGTGCTGCTATTCTCACTATCCTTTTCCAAATTATCCCATCACCATTATCTTTAACTCACTGTCCCCAAGCTTCCCATCAAACTTTTTGAGTTGCTGTTGTCAATTTGCTTTCACATAGATAATTCTTCTTTTTTTTTTTGTACCTCACATGAAGGTTTGCAGAACAAATAGTTTCTCATTAAACAGTTAGTACACATATTGCCCTATGACAATGGTCAACAACCCCATGACATGTCAACACTGTCCCTTCTCAACATTGGGTTCCCTATCACCAGCTTTCCTGTCCCCTCCTGCCTTCTAGTCCTTGTCCCTGGACTGCTGTGCCTCATTAGTCCTCCTTTGTTTTATGAGGCTGTGCAATCCCTGGTTGAATGGTGAACTTTGGGAGGGGCTTCACCACTGAGCTAAAAGGGTGTCCAGGGGCCATACTCTCGGGGTTTCTCCAGTCTCCTTCAGGCCAGTAAATCTGGTCTTTTTTTTGTGAGTTAGAATTCTGTTCTACATCCTTTTCCAGCTCTGTCCAGGAAACCTCTGTTGTGATCCCGGTCAGAGCAGTCAGTGGTGGTAGCCGGACACCATCTAGCTGTACTGGACTCAGTCAGGTGGAGGCTGTGGTAGCTGTGTTCCATTAGTCCTTTGGACTAATCTTTTCCTTGTATCTTGTTCTCTTCATTCTCCCTTGGTCCCAAAGGGGTGAGACCAGTGGAATATCTCAGATGGCTGTTCACAGGCTTTTAAGACCCCAGACACTACTCACCAAGGTAGAATGTAGAACATTGTCTTTATAAACTGTGTTGTGCCA